ATTGCATAAATAATAAATAAATAAATAAATAAAAGATTACCTAAAGATTTTAAGCCACTTCAAATTTTCTTGGTCTTCCTCGTTCATCAAGTGTTTGTAGGCTCCTGATCTATGCAATGCTACAATTAATTAATACCAAATTCATATATAAGTCAGTAAGATATAATTAATATTCTCCCAATTAGTAATGAAAAATATCTATAATCATAAATGGAAAATAGATTAGTATGTTTTAATATTATTTACTAGTAATATTTTTTTTTTTTTTACTAACCATAGAATGAGTGGTATCTAATGATAAATAGACCAGCTGATGGCAAAGTTGATTTGTTTCCTTTTGCAACCTAAAAAAAAATAGTTAAAAAAAATATATGAATTCTAAAAAATGATTTAAATAAAAGAAAATTCTACAGTCCTGTTGCGGAATCATTCCGTCGGAATTTGGAACCGTTAGATCATCATGTAACGTCAGGAATAGTTGATCTAACTGTTACAAACTCGACGGAATAGTTCCGTAATGGGATCTCCCTTAAATACAAACCATACCAGATGCATGTAATCATCGTGGCCCCACGACATGAACACATTGTCCAGTCCACACCCTTCCTCGTAGACTCCAAATTTGGTATTACAAGCTGGATTATAGTAGTCGGTATTTTCCTTGAAATACTGTAATAAAATTTTATATTTTTCAGAGTTATATAACCTTGTAATAATCAGCATTTTAATTCAATAATTCATTCTTTCATATGATGATGAAATTTAAATACACTAAGTAATTAAGATAATGACCTTGTGGTGCACAATGGAGCCATCGAAAGCACAGCCAACAGGGTAAGTATCACCTACATTGAATTAGTATATTTGACTTGTTATTGAACTAATAGATTTTGCAAAGTATTTAGTTAATAATTAGTGGTTTGATCAGTTTTGCTATGGAATCATGGGATGACTCGATTTATGGAGTAATTGGATGACTCGATTTATGGAGTCATCTAGACTTATTTGTATTGACACGTGTCCTGCAATAAATACAATTTAAATAGTTGTCGGTGATTTGATACTATAAAAAACTAAAATTACAATCTTTCTAATTTGACCTAAAAACATGGCCATTATATATAATCTTGATATTGCTTACCTACAACAGCCCATTGTGGAAGCTCACCAAATTGAGGGAGAAGAAGGACCTTCCCAAGATCTAAACCACACAAAATTCGAAGCACCAAATTAGGATAATCCAATAAAAATTACTTGTAAATAGAATTTACATAATTAATTGTGAAATTAATTAAATAATTTTTACCATGGATAAGGGCAGTTAAATGAAGCCAATCCTCATTAGGATAATCTTTTCTTATAGCCTCAGCAGTTTGTAGCAAATGTTCAATTTGAGGCTCATCTAAATCAGGGTCACTCTCATCAACAATATTGTTGAGCAGCTCGCAACATTCCCAAATACTCATTTCAACTTTGTCCAATTTTCCATATTCTTCCCTCATTTTCTTCACCTAATAATGAAATTTGTTATTAAAAAATTGGTGGAAAAAATAAATTTTAAATAGGATATATAAGTTCAATTATTTTTAAAATATTCCACAAAAAAAAAGATCTTATTTACTTTATCTAAAAATAAATTAATCATAATATAGTATAAAGTGGTTGAATTTATTTTTAGTATTTGATGGTTATTTTTATGAAAAACAAATTATTTAAAAAATAGTATAAAGGGGGCGAATTTAATTTCAGTATTTGATGGTTGTTTCTATGGCGAATTTATTTTTTGTATTTGATGGTTGTTTCTGTGGGAAATAAATTAATCAATTTATGATATAAAGTGGGCAAATCTATTTGGGTTGTTTGATAATTGTTTTTTAGCTATTTTCACAAAAACAATATACAAGATCTACATAAAAGAATTGATATAGTCAGATTTAATTCATGATACCTGATATAATAAAATATTTAATTGATTAGCAAATAATCAAAGTATAATTAGAAAAGATAATCTCAAAATCAAAATTACATAATCACACTGTGAATCATCAATTAATTAAGTTGTAATATACAAATAAACAAATACCAGAAAAAAATAATAGCATAAAATTCACCAAAAAAACGTGTGAATTACATAGAGTACAACTTTGTCATTACAAAAGAGAATAAGTGTTATTTTCACACATTTAACAATTGACATGAATAATAGATAATTTATTCCCTTTGTTAAAATTTATTCATGTCAAATATTTATAGAATTTATCTAAAGATATACTATATTCTTCTTCCCTATAAATTATGTATAGATCGACGTTTCCTACTCATTCTGCTTTCGATTTAATCTGTTATTACATAAATATAGAATTTATACTTATTGAGTTTAATTCAACATTAAGTGTGCATTCGATGTGATCGAAAATGTCACTAGAACTAAGAAGTTACCCATGAAGTTGCACCATTTGAATAATCCAACACAAATTTGAGGCTAGATACAATAATTACTTGAAAATCACGATGAGTACTTTCGAAAGATCCTCCTGGTTATTTCAAAGGAGAGTCGTCATGATATTGTGAATGCTGCAATTATTTCTTCCGACATATGGGCTGAATGTACTCTGTTGAGGCTCACAAAAAATATGCGCCTTCAGAGCATTGGATTCAGATTAATATGGAGGAGCTGACAGCTTTTGCTAAATTGGATAGTGAGCATCGAAGATGAAATCATTGGGGGAGACATACCTGATGACAAATTGTTGGAGCCCACTGACGATCCTAACGTTGCAATTTTGTAGAGCACCTATCCAATGTTTAAGGATGCAAGCGATGATCCCATTGAAAGATAGGCTATACTAACCCCAACGTTGGAAGTGGTTCAGTGTATCAATGAGTAAATGATGTCTTTGAACGTAAATGGTGGTCAAACATACTTGAGTTATGATAATACGTGCAAATCTAATTCCAATAATGAGGATTTGTTCGATCACCACACCCCGAATTTTTTAATACTATCAGATGTTCTGGAGTGCTGAATCATAAGTTGAAATTTAAGATATGAACCCCAATCATGTTGCTGCATAACAATGAACATTCTATGGGGTTGTGCAATGGTACAAAAATTGGTTGTCACCAAGCTCTCCACTCACATGTGGATGTAAGGTATTGATTAAATCTAATGTAAGAAAGAAGGTGTCGATATCTCGGATGACTTTAACACCTTCTGACATCAGAGTATCTTTCAAATTTCAAGGAGACGATTTCCTCTAATGGTTTCGTATACCATGATGATTACCAAGAGCCAGAGTTAGTCTTTATTGCATATAACATGTTCTTAAATTATGTAGTTTTTTTTCCATGTCAATAATCGAATGAGCTTGAAAATATTAGTTTGCGGGGGAGATAATGTGCCTACAAGGCAAAAAAAAAATGTTGTCTGCAATGACGTTTTTAATAATATATAATAATCTTCTTTATTCTGTTTTTTTAATTTTCTTTATTTATGATTATAATAATAAAATTGAGTAAATAGCCTTAAAACTGTTCATATGTGTATCGCACGAATTTAGTAATAAAGTAAAAGAGAAAAAACAAATAATATGGTTGAATAATTTCTTACAAACTCAAGAGTTTGGTAGATGTGATTGGTCTTGTAGAGAATTTCCACACCTTCTAGCCTCTCACTTTCAGCTTCATAATCCCTGTTTCACATTTTAGAAAAAATTAAGAAGAAAAAAGTTTTTTGAATAAGGATTTAGAAAAATTATTACAAATTGTAGAACAAATAATAAGAATTGAACTGAAAAGAAATAAGACGAAAATTATGTCAACGATTTTAGACTCTACCTTTATATATATGTTAAAATAACCTAACATCTAATTAATTTTAATATTTATTCATCATGTATGACACAAAATATGTACTAGTAGAATAAATATAAACAAAATTCAATTTTACAATAAAATTGATGTATGACACTTTATTAGTTATTAATTATTTATTGAACAATTGATTTTACAATAAGAAATATAAATATGTTTAGAAGTTCAATTTTTGTCATTGTTTAAATCATTCGGAGAGGAATAAAGACCTAAAGTTATGGCCAAATGAATTGACATTTGGCACCACAAATCCTCCCTCAAGGCTCAATTCTTTTTCAGAAGAAGATTTCCCTTTAGTCTTCTTTTCCTCCACTTGAGTTCCTGTTAATCAAATTAAATAAATAATAACAAAATATACTTGTATGCAAAATATGGGAAATGCTACGGTACGGAACCATTCCGTCGAGTTTGTGACTGTTAGATTATTGTGTAACTGTCGAAGATAGTTGATCTTACACGGTTACAAATTCCGACGAAATGGTTCCGTAACGGGACCGTAACATCTCCAACAAAAATATAACAACGATCTTAGTTTTGCACATAATTATACTACCAAAGCAAAAAAAAAATATAGTAATATTAAATATAATAAAAATATTTTGAAAAAAAATACCAATCTCATGCTTATTGGCCGTCTTCCGCAAGGGCAATGGGCCAGGTCGGGCCGGGTATTTGACGGTCCCAGACCAGATCCGACCCGCACCATTGTCCCGCCTCCCCGTCCCGCCCCATGTTCCGTGACGGGGCAAACTTTTACACCCAGTGCCCCGCCCCGCACTGGTCAGGTCTGTCCCGGCCCGGCCCATCTGAGAGAAATTGAAAAAAAAAATTAAAAAAAAAAAGACGACGAAAAAAGAGATCTGCTTGTTTTCACTTGGAAATATGAAATTTGCCTACACACCAATGGAGAAGATGATTGGCCAATAAAAATGGAGAAGAAACGTGCTTGTGTTACTGTGTAAAAAAAGAGATTTTTTACTTTTAGTGGTCGTCAATGTGGCAAGGACGAGTGAAATAATACGATGGATGGGGCCCACGGTTTTCAGTCAAATAATTTGTGAGCCAATTGGGTTTGCCATAAACGGAAGTTCTACGGAGCTGATGAAGATCGTGTATTGAGACTCAATTTTGTGTAAACGGCATAGTTCGAACAAGATAAAATGTGTAAACTCGCATTACGGCCTTGGTTCATATATTAATAAGTGAAAAACCTGCACTATCAGCCTCGGTTTTCACTAAAACAGTACTCGAAAACGAGCTTTTTTCTTGAACTTTATTTCATAAAACTTCCTTCTTACAATAATGAGTACATGGATTTTTATAGCCTAAACCTAATCATTTAAATATTCAAATTATAATTAAGATATAACTAACACATTTAAACTTATATATTTAAAATTTAAACAAAGAAGCTAACATCATTTATCCTAATGCACGGTCATTCCCCCCTTGGTTCGGAGTCCAATTCGCATCACCACCCTACAACCCCCTTAGAACATCTCCAATGGTCTATTGATATAATCCTAAAAATCAAATGTGGAATCTAAAATATGTAGAAGAATTTTTAGATGTAAAAGGACTTCTAGACATATTTCATTCTATATTGATTGAATTTAACACCTCTTGAGGAATCTTATAGTTGGGCCGAAGAGGATTAAAGAAACTTTGGATGTTTAGATATATCACATCAAATGGCACAATTAAGATAACTAGTATTCGACCTGTGCATTTGCACAGATATAAATAAAGTATTGTGAGTTATTTGTATCCATATAATTATTAATGATTTTTGCCAAATTTACAATTAAACTGAAATATTTATTTTTTTAAATTGTGTTTATCATATTGGATGCAATGTATATTTTGATATGTATCTTTTTTTAGTGAAATTATTTATCATTTATTTTGGAGTTTCAAATACGTTTTTTTTATTTTTATTTTTTAAAAGAAGTTAATTTAAATATAACCACAATAATAAAATCTATTCACATTAAATAGTCAATACATTGTATGATGAGTTGTAAGTAAATGAAAAATTTAAAATGATATTTGTAATTTTGAAGTGATTAGTGTGTTGATTATTTAATAATTAAATGAGAGGTTAAATATATAAAAAGTAACGGCTTTTTGAGGGAAAAAATTATATTGCCACATAGGTATAATTTAATAGGTTTTATTAAATGCTCATTAACCTGCAATTATATATATATATAGATTTAATATGATAGTATTAGAAATATTAGGACGTAGAATCATCTAGAAGGAATAATCCACCTCACTTATTACTATAATCATTTGTGTAGAGTTTGAGAGTATGTCCAACGGGTTAAATGTCAGTTTGTGTAGATTTTGAGCGTGTGTGACTGTGTCCAATGGGCGAGCTCACATGTCTGCATAAGAAAAATATTGAGAGAGTGAGAGTGCATTATAATAAAATTAACTAGTGTGTTTGGTTGTGAAGTGTTTATTTTAGTCTATATTGTGTCCGTTT